AGCAGGGACATGAGTGTGTAATCACATGGGATCTTTTAAATTATGTCTCATTTTTTTTTTTTACAAATCTAAAACTATTCTAAAATTTAAAATCTGATTTCTTAAAAAGAAGTGTTATTGGCAAGTATGGTGGTGCATGCCTTTAAATCCAGTACTCAGGGTGCACAGGCAGGAATATCTTTGTGAGACTGAGACCAGCCTGGTCTACATAGTGAGTTCTAGCACAACTAGGGCTACAGATAGACCCTGTCTGAAAACAAACAAAACAAAACAAAACAAAACAAAAGAACACCAATCCCCAACCATGATAAAACAAACAAAAACCAAATCAAAAAGGAGGGAAATTTTGACACATTTTTGGCACATGGTATCACATGGATAAATGCGGAGGGCATTGTGCTAAGAGCCAGTCACAAAATGACATACTGTAGAACTCTACTTGAAAGAAATTTGTAGCAAAGTGAACATCAGAAAAGTAGAAAACTGAATGGTGGTTACTAAGGGGAGGGAAGGAGAACTAGAGATTGTTGCTTACTGGGTGTAGCTTTTGTTTTGAAAGATAACAATATTTTGTAGGTAAGTTGTACAGCTGGGTGAATATTTATTTACTACTGAATGGTTCAGTTAAAATGATTAAGATGGTTTCTGGATATTGTTCGACAATTAAAAATAGAACTAGTAATATAATAATGCTTTTCATCCATTAGTTAAAAAACCCACATGGATATAACTTTAACCCTTCCTTTTCAGTTTTTGGTCCTCAAGGCCCTATTTGAGGGTTAATTATATAAAAGCAATAGAGGTGTCAAGGCAAGAGGACAATTACTACATTCATTTCAGCCAGTGGTTATCTAAGCACCCATATAAACGGTATCTGAAACCCAGCAAGATGGAGTGTTCATGAAGATCACGGATTAGAGGGAGGGAAATGTGGCTTAGTGGTTTGTGTGTGTGCATGTGTGTGTGTGTGTGTGTGTGTGTGTGTGTGTGTTAAATTTTAGTATAAAACAAAAACTTCCTTGAGCTGAGGTTGTAATACTGTGTATGAAATGACATAATGATCTTTGAGTTGGTATCTTTCATTTTCTCTTTAGAAGTTGAAGAATTGTCCTCCTGCACATAAGTCTTCAGTTAACTGACACTGCAGTGACCAAGATAAATTTCTCTTTCTTTCTTCCTTCCTTTGTTTGTTTGTTTGTTTGTTTGTTTGTTTCTTTCTTTCTTTCTTTCTTTCTTTCTTTCTTTCTTTCTTTCTTTCTTTCTTTTTCTCTCTCTCTTTCTTTCTCTTTCTTTCTTTCTTTCTTTCTTTCTTTCTTTCTTTCTTTCTTTCTTTCTTTCTTTCTTTCTTTCTTTCTTTCTTTTTTGTCTTTTTGAGACATGGCCTCCCTGTAGCCCCAGTTGTCCTGGAACTCACTATGTAGACCAGGCTAGTCTCTAACTCACAAAGATCCACCTGCCTCTGTCTCCCAAGTGCTGGGATTAAAGTCATGTGCCACCACACATGGCTATTTCTTTCTTTTTAAAAACCTTTTTGTTTATTTTTATTTGCATGAATGTTTTGCCTGCATGTATTAAGAGCACCATGTGCTTGCATTGTCTGTGGAGGTAAAAAGAGGTCATCAAATCCTCTGGAACTGTAGTGATGGATGCTGTTAGACACCATATAGGTGCTGGGAACCAGGCCTGTGTTCTAGGCAAGAGCAACCAGTGCTCTTAATTACTGAGCTCTCTCTCTAGACCCTATTTCTTTTCTTTTTCTTTTTTTTTTTTTAATTTGTATGAGTGGATTGCCTGCATGTCAATAAGTGCACCCGTGTCATGCAATGCCTGTGGAGGACAGAAGAGGCCGCAGGAACCCCTGGAACTGGAGTTATGCACAGTTGTTAGTGGCCATGTGGGTGCTGGGATTCAAACCCAGCTCTTCTGCAAGAACAACCAATGTTCTTAACTGCTGAGCCATCTCTCCAGGCCCCATTTCTTTTTTTCAAAATTATTTTTATTTTATGTGTATGAGTTTGTTGCCTGCATACATGTAAGTGCATCCATGTCATGAAATGCCTACAGAGGTCAGAAGAGGGCATCAGATCCCCTGGAACTGGAGTTAAGGACAGTTGTTAGCTACCATATTGTGTAATGTGACTGAGGAAAACAATGGCCTTGCTCCTTGGCACTGGAATTCAAAGACAGTTGCAGCAGTGGATATATCATCTGTTCAATCACATTTTAGAAAGGTTGACACTCACCTAGAGAATCAATTTGCAAAGGAAATTTGAAAATGTGAAGAATAATGTGCATCTTGCTATATTGTCTCTTTAGCTACTTAGTAAGAATGTCTCTGGCTACTTTATTTCTATAATTTTCTACTACTATAGAAAATTTTCTATTATATTCTATTTAGAGAAAAAGTAAAAAATATGGGGCATTTCGTTGTTATAAATGAGCTGTTTTTGCTCAAGAAACTACTTGTTCATTTCTAGAAGGAACAATAAACTAGAGACATTCATCTTTATAAATTTTATCCCCCTACTTTTTAATCCTTCAGGGGTCATGATATTCTGAAAACCACTCAATCAAGAGAAATCTGGGGAGGAAAGAAACTATAAAGTCATCAAAGTCATACTAAGGGAGAAAAGATACAGGTAAGTACATTATTTTGCCCCATTGATCCTAGGATTGAGGGTGTCCCTGGAAACATCTTTGTTGCTATAAAGCCAGAGAATAGCAAGGAAAAGGTAGGGCGAGATGCTTCATTTAGAAAGGTAATCAATATAGTGCAGTCAACAGCTGCTAATAGTGAATTAATAGCAAATAAGACAAGAAAAACTTGAACTTCACATTTCTACCTGTGTCTGCTGGGGGCCTGAGATCAGTAGGGAAACAGCATGTTTGATATTTCTGTTCTTAGCTGTGTCTATTTAAGTTACTGGGATGCTGTATATAACTTCAAGCAAGTATTCCTCAATTTTTATTTTTGTCACTATCACGCATGTATTGTTTTTGTATTATTTCCATCTTTCTTTGTCCCCCTCCAACGCCTCCCATGTCTCCCTCACTCCCTCTCAATTTTTTGTCATTTCTGATTAATTATTATGGCATGTACATTTATAAGTATACATGTACTTAATGCACTAAGTCCATTTAGTGGTGTTCATGTATACCCCTGTTTAGGGCTGCCCACTTGAGGTTAGGGAGCTAAAAGTCCCTGGAGAAAACTGATTCTATCTCCCTCCCTCAGCATGCATTGATTGCCTATAACTCTTCATCTTGATGTGGGATGCTGTGAAATCTCTCCCATCCATCTTGTTATACCAACTGGCTTGGTCATTAAATAAATATTCTTGATTAGTGGAACATAAATCTCATATTAATACTTTCTTTGAGGAATATGAAAAATATCTTTAGGTTGCACATGCTCATATATGTATATGTATCTTGATACATGTATGTGTATATTTAGGACACGTATTTGACATATACTTTGAAAACTAAGGCCACCTTCGTGTTGCATTCTTAATTATGTTTCACAGAAGTTTTTTCAGGTTACTGGAATTTTCTTTCAGGCCACTCTGTTCCTCAGTTCTGTGTTCTGCCACCCAGAGTGAGCGATTTGCTCTTCCATTACAGATGAGATGATGGGTGAGAATAAGGAATAGGCTTCAGGTTGGGCAGAGGCACCACAGCTCTCCTCCCACTCTCAGGTCTCTCCCAGAACAGAGCTCCAAGGGTGCAGGAAGGCACTTCATGAGCTTTAGGCTCTTTGCCTGGTTTCTGGAGACCATGTGCAACCTTTGTTTTCACCTACTGCATTTTCATTTAGACACTGGTAATGGGTTCCATATCTTACCAGAACATTTTTCTTTTAATGTCAACTTTTAAATTTGTCCCTATGACTAAGAATATCATCTTAATTGAAATTTAGCTTTTATAAGGAAGTGATTTTAGTAAAATAACTTTTAAAAAATGTATTTCTACAGGAGTCAATCTAATCTCTATGCTAGGGAAATAACTCATTTCACACTCAAGGAAAATTAAAACTGACACATAAGATAATTACTGGGTCAGTATGGTGGGCTGAGTGCTCAGGATTTATAAACAGAATCTGGCTTAATTCTCATGACAGCTCTGGGAGGACGTAAATAAGGCATGTTCTTTGATGAAGTGTGGCAGGCCAAATGCACATATTTAGCCAGTGGGTGGTGAAGTTGGATCAGAGTCTATTTCTGTCTGATGTGAAAGCCATGTCCTTGACCAGCTTGGAAGCAGAAGCTAAAACACTAACTTTAAAAGAGCACAGAATCTCATTTTCATCAGACATTTATAATCAATTGTTGAAAATACACATGCTTTTTAAAAATATTTCATTTATTATTCTTATTTTATGTGTATGAGTGTATGGTCTGCATGTGTGTAAGTGCACCTGTGTCGTGCAATGCTCGTGGAGGTCAGAAGAGGTCATCGGATTCCCCTGGGACTGGAGTTACAGATGGTTGTTAGCCACCATGCGGGTGCTGAGAATTGAACCCAGGTCCTCAGTGAGAGCAGTCGGTGCTCTTAACTGCTGAGCCATCTCTCCAGCCCTGAAAATACATTATCTCTATACTCAGTGGACTCTGTGCCAGAGATAACACATCTTACAGGTTCATTCACTAGCATAATATTAAATTCCACAAAGCCCCAAATAAAAATATTTGCTAAAGGAATCAGCAATAAATAATATAGTGATTATATTTAGTGTAGGAATGTGATGGTGGTTAAAATATTGGAAAATATATTGAAATACTTTTATAGACATAAACCAAAGAATAATATCCCCATATTTTGCTTCCTAATGGATTTCCAGTGGCATTTGATAAAATACAGCCATTTTATATAAAAATACAATTGCAAAAATCACTTGGCAATTTATGAATAGCAAAAAGTAAATTAGAATATAAGAAAGTGATCCACAAAAACAGGAAAACTCTAAAGGCTGACTGTATGACAGATTTGATTATCTACTTCACTCTATAAATTCTGGTGAATAAAATAATGAGAAAAAGAAATATTTTCTGAGTAATTATTATGTGAGTTGAGAACTTGTCTAAATTCTTTTTAATTATTCATTCTTTTAATCTCACGCAATTCTAGCAGGCATTATTCACTACCATTTTCATTTTAGAAATTTAAAAACTGAGTCCCCACACACCTTTAATCCCAGCATTTGGGAGGCAAAGGCAGGCGGATCTTTGTGAGTTTGAGGCCAGCCTGGTCTACATAGTGAGCTCCAGGGAAGCTGGGGCTACAAGGAGACCCTGTCTCAAAAAAAGACAAAAAAAAAAAAAAAAAACCAAAACCAAAACCAAAACAAAAATGAAAACTGAGTCCCAGAGAAGCTAAATAACTTGGCTAAGGCCACACAGATAATAAGTAACAAAACTGAATAATTATGCATCCTTGACCTATGAGGTTTTAGCCACTCAAAAGTTTTTGCCACTCAAAAGTTATAGTTACTAGGAAAAGGATAACCAAATAAATAGTATCAGAATAAAAGGCCACAGTTTTTTAGGCTTTTGAAAGATGTGTATACATCAGTTCATTTTCCCACACTAGAAAACATGATGAGAAATAATCTCATGCATAATAGACATGAACTGTCCATGTATAACTGTACAGGAAATGTATAAAAATCAAATGAAGAGAATAACAGTACAATGAGTCATGCAAAGCAAGATTAACAACGCACAGTGTTGACTGAGTTCCTGGACGAGAATAATAAATGTTGTTATCCTCCCAAAATTAATTTGTGAATTTAATGTAACTTTATTTATAACCTCAAAGAGATTTTGAAGTAAAGCTTGAAAAATGGAAGAATGAATTGCCTGAGCAAAACAAAATTTTGAAACAAAAGGGATAACTTACGAACTTGCCATTTCTGAGTATTAGAACATATGAAAAAGCTATAATTAAGAAAGTGTGCTACTTAATAGAAACTTAAAGGAGCTATTGTGGTTTGAATGAGAAATGTCCCCCATCATGGTTGGCTTTGGTTGTCATCTTGATACCCCAGGTAGAGGGAGCTTCGGTTGAGGAGTTTCTTCTATCCGATTGGCTTGTTGGCATGTCTGTGAGGCGTTTTCTTGATTGGTGAGTGATGTGGGAGGGCTCAGCCAACAATGGGTGATGCCACCCCTGGGCAGGTGGTCCTGAGTTATATAAGAAGGCAGACTGAGAACAGCCCAGAGCAGCAAGCCAGTAAGTGGCATTCCTTCATGGTCTCTGCTTCAGTTCCTCCATCCAGGTTCTTGCCTTGAGTTCCTTCCCTGCTTTCCTCAAGGATGAACGGTGATTGGACATGTAAGCCCAATAACCCCTTTTTCCCTAAGTTGGTTTTACAATTTACATGAATTCTCACAGCTAGCTGCATTCTTCATCAAAGCACGAGTTTTTTTACAGCAACATAAAGGTAACTAATACACCCTTATAAGCTCATCTATTTGAACACTGGGTCTTCAGATTGTGGTGCTGTAGGGGGAGTCATGGAATCTTCAGGAGGTGCAGTCTTGCTAGAGAAAGTATGTCACTAGGAACGGGCTTTGAGGGCTTGCAGTCTAGCACCTCTTACAGTTCTTTCTTAGCTTCTTCTGTGCAGTTGAGATAACTTCCTATTCCTGCTACCACATGTGCCTGTTGCCACACTGTCCCCACCCTTGGTTCCAGAAGGTTCAGCCTCTGGAACCATAAGGTAAAATAAAATTACTTCCTTCTGTTGCTTCTGGTTACGGTATTTTATCATAACAATAACAAAGTAACTAATATAGAAGGTAACTTAACTTTAGAATCCCCCAGACCAACCCAATTCCACAGTCTATTCCCTTGGAGCCCTCAAAGCTTGTTCCCTCCCCTACCTGGCTTTTGCATATCTGAGATCAGCCTTCATTCCTGGCCAACCTAACCCTTAATTTCCTGAGGCCAGAATCTTTCTTGGGCAAGTTCTACCATGCCCACTGCACCTTGACTCCTACAAGCTCATTCACCCTCCCAGCTCCCCTACCCTGTCTGCTCTCCTAGGTTAAACACTGGCCCATTACTTCTCTTGGTACCCCAGACCTCTGGACTACAGTCTTGGCTCAGACTCGCCACTGCTTCCTGATCCATTGTACCCAGACCAACCCAATTCCTCAGTCTAGCCCCTTAGAGCCCTCAAAGCCTGTTCCCTCTCTGACCTTGCCTTTGCATGCCTGAGACCAGCCTTCATCCCTGGCTGTCCCACCCCAACCTGGATTCCTGAGACCACCCTCTTTCCCTGACTGCCTGAGAGTCCTGAATCCTATCTCTACATAGCAATCCCCCCAAATTGTACTGTGCCTGCTGACTAGAGGGATCCAGACCTTAACAGAAAGTCTGAGAGCATCTGATCTTCATCCTACTTAGGCCTCTGTGGGAACTCCTGAGCATCAGGACAAAAGCTATCTGGCTCCTCCAATAAAAAAATCAAAAGAGAGAACGTGAAGCCTAGACCAACCAGCATTCATGCCCAACAAGTAAACCACAAAGGCACATAAAGTTTACAAAAAACAACAGACCTAAACTCAAGAAAGGAAAGCTTGAGTCTCACAGAAGAATCAGAAACTACAAAAGAAATCTACATGTCAAAGTCACA